TAGTATATTAATCGTCACGGATCAATTATGGAAATATTATTCGTCGCTTCGCGTGACAGGAACCGTTCCCATCCCTATCATAAGATCGATGAATTTCCAACACTGATAAATTACAAGTCATGTGCCCACAATTTATCATTGGTTGAAATTAAACAATTACAATCTAAATCAGTAAAAAAAAAAAATAATTAATTTTTAAAATTTTTAATTTTAAAAAATGACAACTCTTGATGAAGTTAAAGAAGATAAAAAAAAGGCGGAAGGAAACTATGAGGAGGCAAAAGAAAAGTTGAAGAGGTGGGAAGAGAAGTGGAAGGAGAGGTTGACAAATCTTAAGAAGGGGGGGGCAGAAACTTATGTTGGAGAGAGGAAAGAGTTAGAAAACGAAAAGAAAATGTTAGAGGAAAGGATGGATAGATGGGGAGTGCAGGTTATAAATTTACAGAATAAATCAACAGAATTCGAAGAAAAGAAAGGTAACAAACAAATTGCATAAAAAAATATACAAAAAATTATTTTTCGTTCATTTCATTTCATTTATTTATTTATCCATTTGTTTGAGAAGGGTATTGATATATCACTTCTGACCTGTGTTTTTTTCTCTTTTGTTATTTATTACCACTGGTTCACTTGACATTATCCCAATGTTCACTTGTTTATATCATTTTACTTGTTTATCAATTAATCTTTTCCTCTACTTTTTTATAATCAGGAAAACAACTAAGTATCAAAGATGCATTTCCTAATGGTATGTAATTGAATATTCTTTTCATTATAGAATTTTATCCTAACTTAAATTTAACAGCATTCATTATTATCTTAGGTTTGAATTATAAGAAACCAAAATCTTTTCTTAATACTTCTGGTATGCAATGGAATTATCAACCAGCAGAGACCCTATATAAAATCTTGCAAGTCAATCTTATAGAACATTATCAATCTGTTTGTGATAAAAAGCCAGACAAAACCAAGAGACCAATCTACCTCTTTGCCTCTGGAGCTGGTACAGGTAAATCTCGTAATGCAAATGAATTTCATAAGACGTTATTTGAGTGTTTACCAGAAAAGAAGCCAGAACTGAAGGAAAGGATTAAACATGCATGGACATTTCATGTCACACTTGAAAATGGAGCTAGTTTGCATAAGGATGAACTTGATCCATATTATGCTATTGGTACCCGAATGCTGTTCCAACTTAACCCTGCATCAGGAAAACATGATTGGGGTTATACGTATAATTATACGTATATGATTTACAAATGTGTGGCATTCTCATATAATTCACATATAATTCACATGTAAGTCATCTATATGCATGTTATATGAGAATTATATGAGAACCCCACACATTTGTAAATCATATACGTATAATTCCAATCATAGTTTTCCTGATGTGACAATTTGAAACTAGATGAACTTATTAAGAAGTATGAGGCACCATCTCCATGGAATGTCCTAGAATTAGTTGCTAAAGGAGAAAACCAGGATTTGAAAAATGTTACAATCATACTGGTTGTTGATGGTCTGCATAATATTATGCAAAACAAAGAAGATGGTCTGGATCAGGACTCTTCATTTTATAGAACTTATACACATATTGCAGACCTTGCACTTGCTGATGAGAGTATTTTCTTTATTCCATGCTGTACTATGACAATTGCTGGTCCAATTGAATCCTGGCTCAAATATTCATTCCGTAATCGTGTATATTTACCAGTTGCTTCTTTGAAGCCACCAACCATCCATCAAGGTCATAGTATAAAACAGGCTTTTCCAATGGATGACCCTATCATAAAAATTCTAGTAGGTGATTGTGGAGGGCATGGGAGAGCTCTTGAAATTCTTCAAGACATCCTTAGAGAACATGATATCAATGAGTATGATCCAGCTGAGGTGATGAATGCACTATATCATCAACTTAGGTTTAAGTATCCCACTGTTACAGAAATTCCTATGAAAGAGGTTAAGATTATTGTACAAGCAATATTGACACATCAATGCTTTGATTCAAACAGTCCAGTTCCTGGTACAACTAAACTTCCAATCATGTTCACACTTCCTGGATTGATACGATATGAAAGAGTTCGTGACTCTGGATGGGGGCATTTCTATGCACCATATGCCTGGATTTGGATTATGGCAAGATATATTGAAGATGATGATATTTTATCATGGCAATTTGACAATTATAATCATTACAAATCAAATCTAAAAGAATGTTTTAATTTTATCTCTTGGAGAGAATTTGAACATTTTAATGCAAGGTTTCGTTGTATGAAGTCAAAGATGTTTGAAGAAGGTTGTGAAATAAAAATCTCAAAGATACATGCTGGTGCATGTTTGAAAGGTGATCTCATATTTAAAAATCATCATTTACAACTACATACTGCCAGAAATCAAGTGAATACATGTACATCTATAGCTAATTCCAAAGAATGGATAGTTCATTGTGAGCCTGAAAATGTTAATGTTCGAGAGCACAAACATTGCATCCTTAATGCAGGATCTGCACCATATGGTGATTGTTTTCTTTCCTTGGATTCATCAAATATTTCAAATGAAGTCCATCAATACAAAAAATATTCTGATAAAACACCATTAAGTCAACAGGATTACATGAATGAAAGACAGAAAGCAGCATCTAATCAAGATTTTTTTCTCCTTTTTACAACTAAAGTGTGTAACATTGAGCTTCCAGATAATTCAGGCATTGTGGATAAAAAAGTCTGGAAAGATTACTTTGGGCCATTTTCTGGTAGGGCCTTTGTATTTGCTGATGAAGGACCTCTGAATATTAATACTGCAAGTTGTACACAACTTCAACTAATAGAAGGAATTGGCAAAGCTTATGCAAATATCATCATAGAAAAAAGAAAACATTGTGTGTTTGATAGTATTGAGATTGCACATGAGAAAACACAAATACCAGAAAAAATTTTAAAGAAGTTTAAATTTTCATAAAAATAGGAAATTTTGATTACTTTCTTAAGATCCAATTATTAATTAACTAGTAGAGCAATAATATAATTTTTTAATCACTATTTAGTGAAATATAGTTACATTCTCAACATCATGATTTTTTACTTTGATTTGATGTTGCTATGTTTGGGTAGGAACTGTAATTATATGCTCTTACAATTAACTCTTGATTTATTCTATGGACAAACAAATCTTTTTTTCACATCTATATAAAATTATCTTCTTTCTACAAAATGATTAATACAAGCACAAGCACTTGTTTTTTAATCAAAATATTAAAAATATCTATTTTACACTTTGAAATAATAAATATGTACATAATACACCAATAAATTTTTTTTTACCAAATAAACTTACAAAGTGAACATAAATTATATATATAGGGATAAATGTATATGAAAAGTAATAATAAGTATAATGGTTCTAATGAATATCAAAAGGCAATTGATTTTTTAGAAAAAGGATGTGATTGTGGTTGCTTTTCCAGAATTCCCAAAGAAGAATTTGCAGAATTAAGGGAATCCTTTCAAGCTCTTTCTAAACCAGAACAAGACATATTTCTAATGCCCAACTTAAAGCTATGGATGGTGGATCAATAAGCACTAGTAGACACCTTAAAAAGAAAACTAGATCTAATAAAAGAACTTTCTACCATTGGAATCACAATACACTCCTTTGTCAAGAAACTTATCTTAATATGTTAGGAATGGTAAAACTTATTTTGAAAACATTAGGAATCATTTGATAAACAATGGTCTTCTACCAAGAATTCATGGTAATATTAAAAGAATGCCTCAATGGAAAACTAAAATGGTGATTGATAAGAATGTTGCTGAAATAGTAAAGAATTTTCTAGAAAATTATGTAAAAGTTCATGGACTACCAAGTCCAGGAAGAAGTAACAATAGAATAACTCAATCAGTTATATTCTTACCAGTTGAAATGAGTTATAAATCAGTGCACAGAGATTTTCTAGCTGGTCTAGAAGAAAATAGCAATTTGAAATCCTTAAAATATGATGCTTTCAGGAAGTTGTGACATCAATTGACACCAGAGATTCAAATTATGAGTCCAAGAACTGATTTGTGTGATACTTGTCAACGTTTTAGAGATGGTTTACACTATAATGCTCACCAAGAGGAAGAAGCTAAATATTTACTTAAAAAATTTAAAGAACATCTGTCCGAGGCCAAATCAGAAAGAAATTATTATTAAAATTATTCCAAGGGTAAAATGTCATATTGCTACTGCTCATTATATGGTTGGCTCGGTCTAAAGACCTCCTATTGCCGCGCCACGTGCTCAAATTTCAAAAATTGCAATTTTGTGATTCATTCAAAAATGCAATAAATTTTTTTAAAAAAGGGTTACACATGATTTTGGTTAAAAAACTATTTTTCTTACTGCCAAATTTAGATATGATGGTCGAGTATTGGGCTAAATTTAGGAATGATGATCAAAAACTAGTCTAAATTTAGCAATGATCCTAGTGCTCAAATTTCTCATGAGCAT